AATAAAATAAAATAAAAAAAAAAAAAATGGGATTAAAACCTTTTTCCACTCAGGTACTTCGTCTCGCTCCGGATTCAGTTCCTGCAAATCAGAACTTCCTGCTAATCTGGATTTCCTCACATATTTTTCGTCTGATCGACCGACTGGAAATCCCTGAAAATTAAGGTAAATCATACACTAATATAAATTATTCAAATGACAACATAATGGCTTTTTTATAATGCTCTGAAAAAAAATGCAATGTAAGAAAAGATATATCGTTGGAAATCGAATTTTTGGGGAATTTCAAACGTTCGCACCTCCAATTGACATATTCTATCATACGAAATTTTTGCTTTCAAAAGAAAGCAACAGAAACGTTAACGTCTATTGAATTTCAGGAATCAGTAATGACCTCAAAAAAGCAGCTCAATGTAATATGAAACTGCGTCACACCAAAAAATTAAGAAACCAGAATTCTATAATAGAAGGCTTTTTTGAATAATGTTGTCTGCAACGTGTTCCCGGAAAACCGAATATTCAGTAAGACTTATCCGATCAATATAAGAAGTTTACTCTACGCAGTGTATTCAGTCGTAACAAAATAAATTCTCGAACTTACTGAATCGAACTCATACTTCGGGAGATTTTCCAAAAGTAATTGGTCGAAATTCGCAAATTCAAGTTCCTTGAAATCAGAAATACCAGCACAATCCGTCGTCGAATTGCTCGATTTTACTTCATGTATGTTTTCTTTATTTCCTTCCTTTAAATGAATAACATTCGTTGAATATACAGTAATATGCTGAATCGGATGATTTCAACAATTTTACTCCATAACTTACTTCATCAAATCCACAAATCAAAAATGGTTCATATCGCACAGCTGGACCGTAACGAAGTCCAGCATATCGCAACCAATCCTCATCAGATAACGTATTTCGAATAGCAAGAATTTGATTCCTCAAATACCTTCTCTTCTTACAATTCGCATAACATTTTGGTATGCTAGTATCCATATCCACAATGAAACCTGCTTCGATGTTCAACAAGCAAAGAGGTTTTTCGTTACCAGATCTTTTAAAACCATTCGTGTCCTGTTTGCTTTTATTTATAGTGCCCACGCGCAATGTCATCAGAGTATTTTTTCGCGTTAAGTCCAAGTTATACGGTGACTGTATCTATAAAAAGTTTTACGTCAGGATCACATAGCTGCCTAACCAGTTAGCGAAGCGAATCAGAAAAAGTATTTGGCTAGTTGTCATACCCTGTAGTGCACCTGTTAAGCTATCGATGGCTCTTATCACTTGGTTTTTTATTGATCAATCCGTAGCAGCACTTATTAGTGTTTTAGGACTCTAACGTCATTACTGCTAAAGCACAACTACTCCATGTTCAAAATTTTTGCAGCTAACTTGAATTAGTTTAGTTATGTCAAGTTAAAATCAACAAATAACTGGATAAATGAATAAATAAATAAATGGACCTTCAACGCAACCAACTTCTTCAAAAGTGTATCAGGGATTTCACTGTTCTTCATATTCCTACATATATTGTAAAAATCTTGGCTCGAATAGATACGTTTTTCTGATTTC